TGGAACAGAAAGACATCCAGTGTGACCAGGGCACAGAGAATGAGCAAGAGTAAGTGCACGATGAGATGGCAGAGGCAGCTGGTCCAGAGCACACAGTGTCGGTCATCCTGAGGCAGTTGGGGTGGTGTCCTAGACGTAGTGGGAGGGTTACCTCCACTGCAGGATTCTAAGCTGGGGCCTGATGGGCTGAGACAGCATCTCTGGCTGCTAGAGCAGTACAGGGGAACCCAGTAGGAGACTGTTTGTCGTAGTCCAGGCAAAAGGTAATTTTGGCATGGACTGGAATGGCACCAACGGGGATAAAAATAAGGAGGTGGATTTGAGACATAAGTATGAGGTCGTGTGAACAGGCTTGGCTGCCTGATGAAGCAAAGGGGAGCAGGGCCAGGACTGCTCCCAGGATTCTCTGGAGGAGCTGGGTAAATGCAGGCGGCATTCCTGTGGGAAGCAAGGCTGTAAGTACTCCAGATGAGCACAGTGTAATACTTCTTTTAAAGTAACAAAGGTACATTAAAGATTCATCCATCCAGAAGACTAACTTATCAAATGACTGCCACAAAGTATCAGTAGATACATCACTCTGGATGACATCACTGACTCATTCGAAACCTAATGTCATACTTTTCAAGACTTCGTGATCACGGAGATTTACTATAATTATGCAATTTGTATTGACCTCATTTCATCTTCTGAGCTGTGGCAATAATCCAAACAGGAAGCCTTAGGTTGAAATTAAAATGTAAATATGATAAAATGGTAAATTATGTGTTACATTTATTTTACCACAATTAAGAAAAGAATTTTATGTAAATATGAATACATTTCTGGAATTGAGCAGTCTCACAGTCTCTTTTCTTTTTTCCCCACATTTAAGCAATAACCATCATCTTTCCAGCGAGGTCAAAACATGGAAGGAGAGAACCCTTACAAGAGAGGCTCTCAAAGAAGCGACTTGTGCGAGTTCTCCCAAGTCTCCTAAGGTGACTGGACCAGCTTCTAAGAAGAGACAACGTACACCTTCTCATTGCAAGGAACAGGATTTACAAGATCCTGTGCCAAAGGAATCACCAAAAGCTTGGTTTTCTGATAGCGGATCAGTCTTTTCCAGCACCTCATCCAGTTTGCTATTTTGATAACTCAAGTTTAGGCCTTTGCTCAGGCGGGTAAATATCCTGGTTACTTGGAGATCGGGGGTAACGGTTGGAACTAATCTGTAACATGTGGCCCCAAAGGGCAGGTGTATACAAGAGAAGACGTCGTGGAGAAGCTACAGCACACAGACCTCGTCTGCTCTCTCCATGAGAAGCTTCTCCACAGCCCAGCCCTGAAGTGGAATCCCCTTTTACCCCAAGGGAAGTCTCATTCTGCCTGCTAAACCCTCAGCTTTTCCCTTGGATACACAAGTTGCTCTCTCAAGGACATAAAGACACTACCCTATAAACAAAATTACTTTTACCTGAAAAAGACTTGCTTATCAATTCAGGCCAGTATTTCCAATAGCATCATATTCCTTTTACACAAGCCAGATCATAGACTTGTATCATTTACTTATTAATTAATTCAATCAACAGAATTTTTTGGTCTCCAACTACGTGTCGCATATTGGACCCTGATGCTACCTTGAAAAGCAAAACCAGATATGGCCCCTGCCCTCCTAGAGCTCACAGTCTAGTAGGTAAAGACAGTGATCAAGTAGTCAAAAAAAGCACAGTTCTAGAGTGCAAAAGGCTATGAGGCTTAGAATAGATTTTGTTTTAGGAATATAAGGAAGTCTTCCTTGAAGAAGCAGACTGAGATCTAAGAGGTTAATATGAGTTAGCTTAACAAAGGAGAGGGGAAGGCCTTTCAGGCAGATAGAACAGTGTCGGCCCAGCGTAGGAGGGATCATAACCAGGAGAAGGGCTGGAAGAAACACGTGTGGCCAGAGCACAGTGCCCACAGGCTTCTGTGGGTGAAGTCAGGGAAGCCAGAGAGAGAAGAGCCTGATGTGCAGGACTTTGTAGGTTGTATAGAGAAATTTTCACTTCATCCTGAAAGCACGCTAGAGGAGCCTTTGAAAGATGGTAAAGAACAGCAGGGGAACATAATGGAGTATAAATGTGGAAACATCACCTCAGCTGTGAGGTAACCAACAAATAACAGGAGCACGAGTTGATGACCGTTGTCTGAGCAAGAGTGACAGAGCGTGGACTGGGGCAGGCGCAGTGGAGACGGAGAGAAGTGGACAGATGGGGGAGACTGGGAGTCAAGTCAGCAGTCTGGGCGCGTGATCGATGGAGCAGGGTGCTGTCAGGGGCCCCCAGCTCTACGGGGCGCTGTGCACAGAGGTGGGGGCGTTGCAGGACAAGCTCTGTGATGCTGCGTTTCTCTTGGTCTCTCTCACCACACGGCATCTATCCTGTGCTGGTGTGCGCGGCCAGAGCCCTCTGTGTCAGTGCACCTGCCTGTCAGAAATTCCCGATTATGCAGTCGGAGGGTCCAAAGCGACCAGCCTGTACACTAAGGAGGCAGCTGCCCAGTCATCTGGAGCCCGAGCAGAGGTGGCTCTCCATGAGAGCTCTGCTTGGGGACGAAGAAGGAATCAGTCCCTTCTCATCCCCTGCACGTCGAGATTAGAACAAGTCGCAGTCTGAGAATGCTCCTGGGGATACGGGAAGGCACACAACAATTTGGAAAAATTTGTGACCTATTCACCACTGAATAGTGTTTAACAAACATGTAAGGACTTCCATTACCTAGCACTTACATGGAGCTTTTGGTGTGTACACACACACACACATGCACACACATGCACACTATTTTAGAAGAGTTTGGTAAAACTGAGAAGGTTTTATAATCGCCTTTGACTTTACCTGAAAGTCCAGAAGCACATGCATGATATGAATTAATCCAACCACAATTACAAATGCTTAATTCATTTTATCAATGTTTGGATCTCTCTGGTACTGTTTTTAAGTGAAATAAATAAAAGAGTAGTGTAGAGGAATATATAAATCAAAAACTGACCAATTCAGAATTCAAGGACATAGTCCCTAAAATATCAGTCTAAAAAAATTTTAATGTCAGTTTTTAATTTTAATTACAAAAGGTAACTTAAGATACTTGGCAAGACCAGTTATGCTAGATTTACTTTTATGAATATAATAATTCAAAAATAAATATTGTTTATAAAGAAATAGATGTAGCTGTAGTGCTTTTTAAAGGCTCAAAGAAAGTTTTCCAAAGATGACTAAATATTCTCTAAAACACAAACTATTTGTTTAGCACACCATCTTTTTTTCCCTAAAAATAGGGCAAAAGAAAATCAAACTCAATTAATTAATGTTTGATTCACTTTGAATCTCAAGTTGATGAATTCCAAATAAGACTTTATTACTTGGTTTTATGTACAACATCTCTTTTTTGTTTTGGGGGGCGGGTTTTGTGAGGAAGACTAGCCCTTAGCTAATATCAGATGCCAATCCTCCTTTTTTTTTGCTGAGGAAGACTGGCCCTGGGCTAACATCCGTGCCCATCTTCCTCCACTTTATATGGGACGCTGCCACAGCATGGCCTGACAAGCGGTGCGTCAGTGTGTGCCTGGGATCCGAACATAGGCCCCCAGCAGTGGAGCATGCGCACTTAACCGCTACGCCACAGGGCCGGCCCCACAACATCGTTTTTTTAACAATTCATTTTATCAGAAAATGGGGAATAAATTTCTCTAACTCTGGTGAAGTGAAATACACCTTTTTAATGACTAAACCTGAGGAAGTTAATGACCACGTTGCCATTTTTCACTCTTCTCATCTCTACTGTCTTAACATCCTTCCCAATTCCAGTTGTCTTTGGTTTTTGTGTATTTTTTAGGAGATGACTTTTGTTGTTTTTTTTTTCCTCAGAAGAACAAGCTGCTGGAGCGGAGCGAGTGGATCCTCAGCTGGGCCCCTGGCGCACGCCCTCAGGAAGAGCTGTGCCCGAGTGCAAGACTCAGTAGAATCCTCTCCCGCCACTTCCCTGGGGCCTGGCGTCCCTTGTTTGAAACGACTGTATCTGTTACTTTGTTTGTCTGTCCCTGGCAATGATGTCACAGTCTAACTTAATTTAAATTCAGTTTTCACTTTGCCACTAGAGTTAGAAGATGAAGGAATAGGAAATTAAGGCATTCCAGTAATTTAGAAAAGTGACAGCAATACCTTCTTCCTGAATGTGGTAATACTTGAGAAGCTGAATTGCTTTATTTCTTTATGTTTTGTAAAGAATAAAGTTATTGAAGGAAATTTCCAGTCTTTCCGTGTGTACATTTCATTACGGTAAAGTTATCCACATGTGACTTAGATAATACATAAACATAAAGCATCATTTAATTAACAAAATTATAAACTCCTTTTTTAATACTTTGCACATTCAGTAAATGTTTAATTAGTAGCTCCAGTAACAACTCCACATAAGGTTAGTTAATATTTCTCGGTGGGGTACTCCTCTGTATGTGGTTCTCCTCTTTCCTTTGTTGACTCTGAATTTTGCTGTGAAAATACACACGCCTTCCGGATTTAAGTTGTTAAAGGATCGCAGGTGCTGGGACCTCTGCAGTTTCTAGTCTTAATCTTCCTTTGCTGTAACAACTGCAAGACATCTGTCTCCCTTTTCTGTTGCCCACCCACCCCGTGCCCTGTACCAGCACCCTCACTTGGTTGGCTTGTTACTTGACTTTGTGCTCTATTGCACTTCACTCCCGGCTGGAGGAACCTCATTAATCATTTATTCCACCCTTTCATTTTAAAGATTTTATTTATTTTATTTTTTGCCCCCAAAGCCCCAGTAGATAGTTGTATGTCATAGCTGCACACCCTTCTAGTTGCTG